GTTCTCTCTCTCTCTCTCTCTCTCTCTCTCTCTCTATATATATATATATATATATATAATTAATTAATAATATACTTAATTTTTAAAAATACTAAATATTGGGCTTGTTTCGAAGTTACCGAATAAACTATTCTAAATATGTAATTTGTAAAAAAAAAATTACATACTTTTTAATGTATCTTTTTTTTATTAACCTGAATATCCAACCCGCTATGCGAGCCAACTAATCCCAGGACGACCTCCTGCTTTGCAGAAACCTCGGAATCACTGCATTTGAACCTCCGTGGTCACAAGAGGATTTTTATTCCTCTTTGGATTTGAACCTGGGACCTCCTGGTACTTTTGATCTTTGGAGCCAAGCTCAAACCAATCAGGCACCACCATTGTGGTTTACTTTTTAATATATCTTAATTAATATTAGTTATTTATATTAATATGATAAGAGTGTAAATGAAAAATGACAAACTAAAATATATAAAATAAATAAATAAATAACTATAAAGGTTTAAAATGTATATATTAAAAATAATTTCGTAGTATTTATTATATATAATAATATAATTAAATACAAAAATACTAAATGTTGGGTTTGTTTGAAGGTGTTGATAAGACGATTAAAATAATGTAATTTGTTAAAAAAAAACGAATTTTAAAGTATTTTAGTCAAATATGATATTGATTATTATCATATTATGAACATGCGTATAATCAGTTATTGACGATAAACATATTGTATTACGTTATGGACATGTCAATCATAACATACATCTCAATGATGACATGGCATTGTTACGGATTGGGAATGGTATGTCTAACTTTTTCTTAATTTTTTATTTATAAATTGTATAATATGTTAAAGACTTTTTCATCCCCGGATGTAACGACGTTTTTACTAAATACAAGGGTCTTTTACATAAATATTGTGATTTATGTTAACCATTTATCTTCCATTCTTTATGTTAATTAACCTTTGTTTATCTCATCATATGGTTCTTGGTTTTTGTAACCAACCTAAGAGATTTTTAACAGATTTTCTAAAATAGAGAAAATAAAGGTTCTGTTTTTTAAAATACTGCAAAAAATTATCTATATTGTTCTGTAAAATGGAGAAAATATAAACAAACTCCAAATTTAGAGAATTTTTTAAAACTTGACGTGAGAAGAATAAATGATTTTTTCATTTATTTCCACCAATAAGATTGAATTATTATTATTTTATATAATTTTTTTAGAAAGTGCGTTGAGATAATATAATTAGAAAATATTTTAATTATATTATTAATATTGAAATCTCTAACAGATATAATCTCTTGGAGTTAGATGTAATCTTTTTAGATATTTTAGTTCTTTATTTTAGAGAAATTATAAATAATATATTGGAGACACTACAACAAAAATTGGGTTTATAGGACACTCCCAATTTTTAAACGTCCTAATAGATATCTTTATAGGACTTAATTTATAGGACCAAAAAATAAAGTGTCATATCTAAAGGCGTTGTGATAAGTTTATATGACATTTTTTGACGTCGTAATAAGTTTTTAGGACACTTAATATAAAACGTTCTATTAGCAACTTTATAGAACATTATTTGAAAAATTGTCCTATAAAAACAAGTGTCCTATAAAAAAATGAGTTTATATGACACTTTCTCAAAAGTGTCCTCTAAAGTTGCTAATACGACACTTTGTATTATAAATGTCCTAAAAAACTTGTTAAGACGCTCAAAAGCGTCATATAAACTTATTACAACACGAAAAAAAGTACCTAAGAAACTTATTACGACATTAAAAAACGTCATTATCAACTTTATAGGACACTTTTTGAGAAAGTGTCCTATAAACTTATTACGCTCACATTATCAACTTTATAGGAAACTTTTGAGAAAGTGTGCTATAAACTCAATTTTTTATAGGATATTTGTTTTTATAGGATAGTTTTTCAAATAGTGTCCTATAAAGTTGATAATGAGACGCTTTATATTAAAAGTATCCTAAAAAACTTATTACGACATCAAAAAACATCATATAAACTTATTACAACACCTTTAGATAGAACACTTTATTTTTTGGGTCCTATAAACTAAGTCCTATAAAGAGATCTATTAGGACATTTAAAATTTGGGAGTGTCCTAAAAAACCGATTTTGTTGTAGTGATTATAGGTTTATGTCGACTTTCTCTCCTATATCTTCAGAATATTGGCATCCAAAGCCACATCCCACGTGTAGTACCTTGTACATAAAAGTTTAGTTGATTCTCAAGTTCAAAACAGAACTACAAAAAATACAACAAGTTTAATATGGATCAATTTAATTTTGAAACCAAGTGCACATGGCCCTCAAGTATGGATCGATTTATTTTTGGTGATCTGTCGGATGACGTCGTTGTCTTTAAAGCTATATAATAATTTGAATTAGTATTGATACAAAGAACAATTAATTTTATTTTATGAACTAAAACATAGAAATGTATTTACTATTTACGGAGCGCTCTGCCCACGGAACCTACCTCCCCTGGTTGTGTCACTAAACCATTGATAATTTGTCGGTGATCTTCCTTGAATACTGGTTGGAATAATCTTTTTATCTTTTTTAAAATCATCATTTTTTTATCAACCTCGATATCCAACCTGTTATGCGAGCCGACTAATCTCATGGTGACCACCTGCTTTGCAGATAATCCAGAGTCACCGCATTTGAATCTTCGTGGCTACAAAAGGATTTTTATTCCTTCTTTGATTTGACCTTTGGAGTCAAGCTCAAACCAATCGGGTACCATCCTTATGGTTTTTAAAAATCATCATTGGCGGTTTTTAATAGGTGAAAAAACTACAATATATATTTTAAAAACTTATTAAATGTAGTTGAATAATAGAGAGATTATCACTCAATTTGCCTATTAACATGAGAAATTTAATAAAATAATTTAATTAATTTCTGCTTTTAATATAATGATATGCTAAAAATAGAAATTTATATTATAATAAAATCAAAGTAAAAGCGTGCAATTATTTAGCCTTTTCCATTTACAAAACTGAACCAGAAAACCCTAGCAGTAATGCCTCAAAATCATCATCTTCACTCAGCCATGGCACCATATCATCACCTTCAAACTCGAACTCCATGGAATCTCCATTAAAGCAAGACCCCATAGCTTCTGATGATTTGAAACTCAAGATTTCATCTTCTATCTCAGCCTTTTTTGCACTTTCCACACTCATATCTGCTAAAACCTTTTGTGGTTCTTCCTGATCATCCTCTTCCCACAGCCATATCAGCGTGTCATCACCTTCAAACCTCAACTCCATGAGATCTCCATTAGAACAAAACCCCATAGCTTCTGATGAATCCAAGCTCAAGAATTCATCTTCTGCCTCAGCTTTTTTGGCACTTTTGACCACACTACTCGTATGATCTGCTAAATGCTTTTCTGGTTGTTCCTCATCAAGAAGGCTCAATAACCCATCTAAATCCATAGTTCCACTTCCTAAGAACTTGCTGATATCCATTAATTCATCATCTTGGATCCCATATTCATCTGGTCCTAGATCTTGATTTTCTCTCTCTTCTTCAAGATTTGACGACTTAATGCCACAAGCTCGACTTCCTGTAACATTTTTCTTCACGCAGATTGAATTATAATTACCATCTGTTGTCTCTTCATTTACTGTTTCCACGTCTAATTCATTGCTAGCAGATGGTGGTGGTGGTGGTGGTGGTGGTGGTGGTGGTGGTGGTTTCTTGTTATTATCCACCACCCTATTCTTGTTATACTTTTTAGCAATGCAACGGCTAACGCGACCAATTCTTCGGTTTGTCTGAACCATGTTGTATACGTTAATCGAGTTTAGGGTCGAGTCACTTTTCCCTCTAAAATATTTGTACATCTTGCGTCTGAGATGAGAATTCCAGTAATTTTTTATCTCGTTATCTGTTCGTCCCGGTAGATGGCTAGCTATCGCGGACCACCTAAAAGAAAAAGATAAATAAATATCCCTCACATACTATACTATATGTATATCGTCATATATATTAACAAAACCCATTTGTTACAATTTGTTTTGAAAGAGGACTATCACGAATGATATGATATGGCTGTAGTGACGTCCTGAATGAAGCGTTCTACATCCATTTTAACAAAATATAGAGAAAGAAAAGCCTTTAACGGCCATGCACATTTATCTTTAAGGTCTCATGGTATGGCTGTAGTAACGTCTGAATGAAGCGTTCTACATCCATTTTAACAAATAATAGAGAAAGAAAAGCCTTTAACGACCATATACTGTTATCTTTAAGATCTCGTGATATTGATTGACGTATATGTAAATTGATCCGAACACTTGTGGTTATAAAAAAGGAATACATATTATATTACTTTGCTAGGCATATGGGTAACATTACGTAGACAGACATGATTGGACAGAACAAAAGAGTAGGACCGGACAACACTGAACAAGACAGGACTAGACAGAACAAGTGTCTTGGTACGACTAGGACCGGAGAGGACAAAACTATACAAGTTGCCCCCACAAGTTATTTGACGATTATATATATATATATATATATATATATATATATCATATAATAGTTATTAGTAAAATAAATGGAGTAAATAATCAAATAATTTAATTTATAAATATTTTTACACAATTTTCATATACATAAATATATACATATATAATAGTACCAAATTTGAATGAAAAAATTGATATAATTGATGGTAGCTCGAAAAAAAAAATCCGATTTGTATGAATGAGAAATTATGTTTTATTCAGTTTGGAGGATTCTTATCAATTGATGAAGGCATGGTGAAGATTGTTGCAACAACAATGGTTGTGGGAGTAACACATTGGTGACTAGTGGACGATGGTGGATGTGGAAGATGTAAAGATGGCGGATAGTGGTGGCGGTGGCGGTCGACAATGGTGAAAGAGGTAGTTGTGGCCAATGTGGTGGAGGTAGTGGTGGTGGTAGTCGATGGTGCAGGTGGTGGTGGCTGCAGTACCAGTGGTGGTGGACATGGACGCTGGTGTCGGTGCCCGATGGTGGTTGTGGAGGATGTGAAGATGGTAGATAGTGGTAGCCGGTGGTGGTGGCCAACAGTGGTAGCGGTAGCCAAGGTTCAAAACGGCGTGAGCCGTGGCGTGGTGACGAGGTCAAGCCTCAAGTCTTACATGCCACAACTAAGACGCGATGTTTTCTAAGGCGTGACATAAGACGGTAAATTTGTATGTCATATATAGAATTGTGTATATATATATATATATATATATATCATATAATAGATAATTATATTACACAAATATACATTTATATTATAAAAAGAAAAATCATATAAATTATTATTATAAAATAGGTTTTTGATTAAATATTCGAATTAGAGCTTAGAAAAGTAATTTTACAACTTTACTTTACCCGTAAGTCTGTAGCATTTATGAATTTGTAAGACTGTGAGTGATGTGATTAGTTAGATCAATAAAAATGTAAAATTACAAAAGATAAAATATATATATATATATATATATATAATGGAAAAAAATCATGTCTTACAAAAAACGTGCGCCATGGCGCGCTTCAAGATGTCATGGCGTGAGTGACACCTTACAGAAACGCTATGGGTTATTTCATAACGGTGGAGACGGTGGTGGGTAGTGGCCGGTAGCCGATGGTGGTGGTTATGGTGGAGATGGCCAATATTGGTAGTAGTGGTGGCGATGGATGAGGGTGGTTGTGGAGGTGGCAATGGTCGTTAGTGGTCAGTGCTCGACGGGTGGTTGTGGAGGTGGTGGGGGAGGTTATTGTAGTGGAGGAGGAGGTGGTGGCCTATGGTGGCGGCGGTCGCGACTAGCGGTAGCGGTGGTGACCACTAATACAAATATCATATTAAAGTTATATCAAACGAGGGTTAATTAGTAATATTTTAGTTTCACACTCATCCTTGTCCTATCTTGTTCCATCTATTTTTGATGGAACAAGAAAAACCTTTTTTGTCCTATACTGTCTCACCTTATCTCAGTTTTTACCCTGGTCGTAGCAAACGTGAGATAATAAGTTCTTGTCCTGTCTCATGTAACAAATGCAGCCATAATGTCATTTATAGTAACCATACATTGACACTTGTTGCAAAGGAGTAGTGATTAGTATGGCAAAGGCCCAGTTCGATCTTTTGAAACTACATCTTAGAAGAAGTTATAGCTCATGTACTTGATCCGTGATCAAACCCACCCACTTGACCAGGATGGTTTAGTACATGAGTACCTTGTCGATATACCTACCTACACCTGAGCTCCAGCTGACCGTAATGCATGTGACTTTTAGCCACTGGGTTTAATTTAAGGCCGGAAATTGTGGACGATATTTATTGCGACGGTTCAGTTCATTCATTAATCAAACAATTCATTTATATATATAACCCTTTACATTTATAAAAAAAAATGTCCTATAAAATAGCTAATAGAATAATTTATTTTAAAAACGTTCTAAAAATATTGTTAAAACGACTAAAAACGTCTTATCAACCTATTATAACACTTTTAGATAAGATGTTTTATTGTTTGGTCCTATAAAGTTAAGTGATATAAAGTATTATGTGAGGACAGTTAGACATTGAATGCATTTTATAAACCCAATTTTGTTGTGGTGAAGTCTCCCATAAAATAGCTAATACGTCACTTTATTTTAAGAATGTTTTAAAAAACTTGTAACAATGTGTTGTGAACTTATTGTAACACTCTAGATAAGATGCTTAAATTGATTATTAACAAACAATTAGTGAAAAAAAATGCAATGATTTATAATTATTTATATAAATATATTTTTTTGATTAACCTGGATATTCAACCCGCTATGCGAGTCGATTAATACCAGGACGACCACCTGTTTTGCAGATAGCCCGGAGTCACTGCTTTTGAACTTCCGTGATCACAAGGGGATTTTTATTTCTCCTTGGATTTGAATTTGAGACCTCCTGATACTTTTGATCTTTGGAGTCAAGCTCAAACCAATCAGACACGACCGTTGTGGTTTATATAATTATGAAAGAATTGAAGCAGGAAATCAATTAAACAAACCTGTTTCCCAAGGATCCATGTAACTTGACGATGATTTCTTCTTCTTCGCTTGTTATATTCCCTCTCTTCAAGTCTCCCCTCAGATAATTGATCCATCTGAGTCTACAACTCTTTCCACACCTTAACAATCCTTCCAAAATGACAATAATTAATTAATATACGTAAAGAACCTTATTTTCATTAAGAATCGGGGAACTGTAACAGTACGATACGTGACATATTCATCAGGATTATGAATATGTTATTCATCATTAATATGATATTCATCATCAATATAATATTCATCATAAAAAGGGACATAAAACGTTAATGCATGGTTCACTACAACAAAATTGGGTTTATAGAACACCCCAATCTCTAAGCGTCCCAATAAACCGTTTTATGACTTAATTTATAGGACCAAAATCTAAAGCGTCATTTTTAAAGGTGTTGTAATAAGTTTATATGATGTTTTTGGACATCTTAACAAGTTTTTTAGGACATTCTTAATACAAAGTGTCGAATTAGCAACTTATATAACACTTTTGAGAAAGTGTTCTATAAACTCAATTTTTTTATAGGACGCTTGTTTTTATATAACAGTTTTTCAAATAGTGTCTTATAAAGTTGCTAATGAGACGCTTTATATTAAATGTGTCCTAAAAAACTTATTACGAAACGTTATATAAACTTATTACAACGCTCTTAGATAAAACACTTTATCTTTTTTGGTCTTATAAACTAAGTCCAATAAAGAGGACGCTTAGAAATTGAAAGTGTCCTATAAACCCGATTTTGTTGTAGTGGTTCCCAGATTCTCTCTCTTTATATGTAGAGATATATCAATTGAAATATATATCTATAATTAAACCACACTTCATACGAAAAAACCCAAAGAAAAACATAATCAAATGAACGTTATTTTTCTTGTTTTTATCAGATTAATTGTTACTTCTCCATTTACATAAAATAGAAACTTGTTGGTGTGAGAAAGTACTAATCCGACACTTAAAACCAAAATTAGGTTGGAATCAAGTATGATGAACGTGTGTGTGTGTATATATATATATATATATATATAATTATAATTGATTGAATGAGATTTGTGCAAATAACGTGGTTTGCAAAGTAAACCTCCTATATATATATATATATATATATATTGTGATGGTAGTACCTGCATTTCTTGGTAAAGACCTCCAAGAACCTTCTCCATTGGCTTGAATGTATTTGATCAATGCTTCATCTTCTTCAGCAGTCCACCTCCCTCTTTTTAACCCTTCTTTCTGACAGCAAGGAGTTCTTCCCATTTTACAACTTAATTAATTAATTAATATGTCTGTTTTGTCGGTGTACGTAATAATTAAAGAAAAACAAAGAGGGACGGGGAAGATGACATACAAGAAGAAGGTGTCACACACAGACACCTACCTCCTTTTATAGACTTGTATTTCCATGTTTTTCTTTTTCATATAACATTGACGCGTGGAATTAATTTCTACAACTTAAGTCCATGATTTATGGTCTAATTTACGAAAATAAGTGTCCGATTCAGGATTACGTATACACCAACTGACCTACTTGTACCTTACAAGTCGTGTGCTTGTAATAGGATGTAAAATTTTAGTGTACAAATATCGAAATCTGAACGTTCTTTCTTGACCTAACTACAAAGATTCGGATTTGTAGTAAAAATTAACCGCGAAATCCTTCAAAGTAGCCTGTTTTGATGGGGAAAGAGTCGGGATTTAGTATGAGGGGAAGCTAGGGTGCTCATGGGTTGAGTTGATCAGGTTGAAGACATTTGAACAACCCAACCCAATTAATGTTTGCGGTTTAAAAAAAATTTAACCCAACCCAACCCAACCCAAACTGTACGGGTTGGTCGGGTTGGTCGGGTTGATACTTTGGTATATTAAATATTTTTCTAACCTTGAATAGTTATTTCTCTATTCATAATTTTTTTTTCATCATCAACCATTTGATACAACTTATCCATACTTTTTACGTATATCACATTCAGTTAGTTTTCTCAATTTACGTATATATGTTTACAATTATTGAACATATATACGAATGAGTTATATAGAGATGCGAATAGATTGAAAAGATTTGTATATGAAGAGCGTACGTGATAGTGTAATTGTCTAATGTATATATATTAATAGAAATTCAACAATCATATTAAATCCAAAAAATAAAATGATATCGGGTTTATCGGGTTGTGTTGGGTTTAAATAATACTAAGGGATTGTTTACCAAATTTTTTATTAAGTACTGTATGGGTAAATTTGTCGGATAAATTTGTCTGTCTGGATAAATGGGTGTTGTTGTTTACTTTTTTTTTTATGTGAACCACAGTCTGAATAACATAAATGACCGATTTACCCCACAATATTAAATATTTGAACATCAACACAAAAAAATCATAAAGAGGCTAAAGATGGGTGTCTCATATGGGAAGGAGGCGATGCTTTAAATAAGGGGGTACGGGTGTCATTTTTGTGGCTGAATGGGGACAACACACCATTCTATCTGTGCGATTAAGCCATGTTCCGTTCGAATAAGCCGTAAGTAAACAACCCAATATCAACCAAATCCCTACGGTTTGACAATTTTACAACTCGATTAGACATCGGGTTGCTTCGAGTTGAGTTATTTCGTGTTGGGTTAATCGGATTAATCGGGTTGGTCGGGTTTTTGAGCACCCCTACACAACAACCCTTGTGGTTATGCTATTATAAGTTATTGTAGTATAGTTGATCAATAAGTTATTGTAGTACAGTTGATCAAAATATATTTAACCAGTTATTTCGGATTTGTGTCAACTTTTTCACCTACATAATCGACCAAATAAATAAATAATTAGACTACGATGGAACATGGCTTAATCGCACAGCTTAACTAGGCTTACTGATCCATCTGGCTTATTCGTACAACTTAGGGCCGTTTACCAAACACTTATCCGGGTAAGTGCTTATCAAGTCATGTTATCTTACGGGATGAATATAGTAAAGATCAAGAATCTTACCCGGTAAGAGCGAGACAAGGACCATGAATCTTACTCAGTAAGTGAGGGCGATGACTCTTACCACGGTAAGCGCTTACCGGGTAAATTGTTGCATACGATGTCGTTTTGGTGGACTAAAAACTTACCCGTTAAGTAAATAATAGTGTTAAATTTTACCAATAAACATTTACTGACTAAATGTTTGGTAAACGACCCCTAAGCTTTTAGTCAAATAAGTAAATGTAAAACTGAAAACAATTTATGCATACTTAACTGATTAATTGGTTTTTACATCCAACAAAGTTTAGAACATCTTTAAAATTTACTGTTATGAACCAATTGTAATTTTAAAATTCCTCCTTACAAAAATATAATCATAATTTATAAAATTATAAATTCCGCTATTATAAAAATGAGTCCATTCTAAACAAAAAAGAGAAAGTGCAATGTGTCTGAATTTGTTTATCACAGCCATGAGAGAGAGAGAGAGAGAGGGTGTAACACCCCATTGTCATACCACTTCTGTAACACTTCAAATCTTACATTGCATATAACACATAATTCATTCAAAAAAATACATGTTTTACATCACTTAGGTTCATAGTACAAGAAACTAAAGTACAAAATACACAATCCAAGAATTCCAAAATACAAGTTTTTGTACTACATAATATTCAACTTCAAAACTAAACACATCCATAGGCTGATCTTCATATAATTATGCACATAGGGAAACAAATTACATTTTCCCTTTCCCTTTACTATCGTGGTACTCAGTTGTTCCTGCAATACATATTTGAAAGCAGGGCCGGCCCTGGCCACGTGCAGCCCGTGCGGCGGCACAAGGCATCATATCCTAAAGGGGCATCAAGTTGTCATCTATTAGTAGTTTTGGGTTTTTAATGATTTGGGAATTGGACAATTCAGCTTTAACTATAAAGATGAGTACTTAATGCACATCGTGAATCAGTTAATGCCATCATTCCAACAACGCAGTCTAATTTCTATTGTTCTTCAAAGTTCGACTATTTCGATATTCAAGACATTGAGTTTCGTTTCCAGCCGATTAATGGTCATGAAATTAGACTCAAGAAATCAAAGATGAAAATCTCGAATAATTGATTTCTATTGTTGATTGTACTTACTGAGTTTCTGTGTGAGTCATATTATGCTTTTATGAATCTTAAAATCTTTTTCTGAAAAAAAATCTAAATTTCTAACTGATTATCATAAAGTTGTGTCATGTGTGGTCGTGTGGGTTACTGACCTACTAGGCTAAGGCTAAGGGGCTTTTGTCATTTTGATAATGAGTCTTCCTCTTACATGTTGAAATATTTGAGAATTAAAATTTGCACTGCACATGAGCACATCACTGTATTAACATAGTTAGAGCACGCTGCACAACATTAACGGCATATTGTGATGTTGTCTTAATTATTGGGTACTTGTTCTTCGCAATGCACAGTAACATAGATTATAAATTTTACAATTTATCATTGTTCTTTTGATATTTGTTTGCTTTGAGGTTTGACATTACCGCAGTAGATTTAGGGGTCGTTTGATTGGTTTTTTTTATTAATATTCTATATGGATAAAGTTGTCTATATGGATTAATTTGTTTGTATAAGTTGGGAAATTTTTTGTTTGAGAGAGTTTTTTCATAGATGTAAGGAGCGTTTTTTTTAGTTAGGAGGGACATGTTTAGAAAATAAAACTTGGCTTTCTATATAAAGCTCTCCTAGAAGCTTATTAGATAGGTCACTTTCTATATCATTAAACCACTACGAAACAATCATGCATAGTTGAGGGAATAAGTTGTTAGTCCTATTAAGTTTATTAAGTTGCTAACAAATAGGCCCTTAGACCTTGGTCGTTAGACCTGTAATGTTTTGAGTTTTACGTTTTGCTTACTATGACAGTAATTTGGATGTAATTTTTAAATTTTAGTTAAAAACTAATTATAATTTTCCTTATCTTTTAAGTTTCGTATATTGAAATAAAGTTCTATTTTTGCTAATTTCAATTTGGAAAAGGGAAAAATGGAAAAGAAGGAAACACAATCTTCATCCATAATTTATCATTTTATCATTCTATATTTTGTGTTCGGAATTTTATTTTTTATCCCCCCCATTGTATTTTTTTTAATTATAATTAATAAAAATCAACATGGAGATGAGCCACTTATCTTAACTAGGTTCCAAACTTTTTAAAAAATAGCATTTTTGTTGTTTCATTGGCTTTAAAAAAAATAGGCTTAAGGCATTTTTTATTTTTTTTGCACAGGGCATCAAAAATTTTAGGACCGACCCTGTTTGAAAGACAAAATGAGGATTAGACCTGAAGGTCTAGTGAGATCCTTTTTTTCTTGTAGTTACAGGATGAAGATCACCAAATCATTATTAAAAATCAATTTTTCATATAATGAGAACATAATTCCATAACTCATAATGTCCAGCATTCCTCTGGTTGCAAGGACCAGACTTAGAAAGATTTTATCCATCATATAGCAGGACAGAGCCCCTCTGGTTCCTTTGACCAATGCTTCTGGTCCTACCAACCAGAGTTCATCTCTAGTTTAACATTCATCATTTTTTTTATTAACCTGGATATTCAACCCGCTATGCAAGCCGACTAATCCCAAGACGACCACCTGCTTTGTAGATAGCCTGGAGTCACCGCATTTGAACCTCCATCGCCACAAGGGAATTTTTATTCCCCTTGGATTTGAACCTGGGACCTCCTAATACTTTTGACCTTTGGAGCCAATCTCAAACCAATCAGGTACCACCCTTGTGGTTAACATTCATATATTTTCAAAGTCATGAACATAGAATGAATGCATTTATTTTCCAAGTATATATGCATATATGTGGTGTATAATTTAAAGTCCTTTGCATGACCAGAGCCTCTAGTTCTACTAACTAGAGCCTCTGGTTCGTCTACAAAAGCCCACCAGAGCTCCTTTGGTTTAAGTTGTAAAGAGCAACCAGAGCCCCTCTGGTTCTACTTTCTTTGCCAAAGTCATTTTGTATAAGAAATTTTCTAAATTAAAATAAGAGTAAGAAGTCTTATAAATAAATTGAAATACAATCTTTGACACAGAGCCTCTATACACTATATACAGAGCCTCTAGTCTAGGTAAAAGTTTTGTATTAGACTTGTATCATAAACAAATATTATCCAGTGCCCCTCTATACACTATATACTAAGCTTCAAATAATCACAGAATCTTCAAATCGCTTTTATGCAGATTTTCTTTCAAGAACACTCCTTCACCGCCACACACTCACTTTTCTTTTT